CAGCTCCCGGACCAACGCACGTTGGCCATCGCGCAGCGCTCCGCTAGAGAGAAGCACGGCGCCATTCAGACCGAGACGGCGCACAACGACTTGCAGCAGATGCTTCTCCAGCAGCAATTGCTGTTCGCCACTCTGCAGTCGGCAGTGCTGCGTGCGCCGCTGCACTCGAGTGGACAGGCAATGTTCGAGGCTCTCCACTTTGATACGCACCTTGGACGCGACGCCGACGAGAGAGAGAAGCTGCTATTAGCGCACAATGACCGCTCGCTTGCCACATTGCCGTCCATCGTCCACAGGTTCGCACAGATGGCCATCGATAGAGTCATGGCTGCGCAGGATGCGCACTGCACCAAGCCGGTGATGCCGCTGTCGCAGATCGACATTACAGGTTGCAAGGACTGTACGCTCATCTCGAGCGTCTTCGTGTCGGAAATCCCGCACACGTCGCTCGAGGAAGTGTACGCGGCTGTATTGGCCTACTTCGACGGCATCCCGACGTCCATGAAGCGCCACTTTAACGTCAACGCTAAGCGCGTGCGCCTTAACAGTGTCGACTCACCGGTCGTGTACCGTCGCTCGACGTTTAACGGTGCGGGCCTGCCAGCGACCGTCAACAATGTAGTCTGTTCGGAGCTTACGGCGTCGCACGGCATGGTGCACATCGACGCCATTACGGAAGATCCGCTGCACCCGGTCAACAGATCGGGGCCGTCGCAATACGGTATCTGTGGACTCACTATTACACCCCGTAAAGACCCCGTAACGGGTAGAACGGTGTCGATCACACTGCGGTGGGTGGTCGTGTACCACTACAACTTGCTGCCGGACGACCCGGCCATCCGGAACGACCTGGAGATTATCCGTCCCATTCTGAACGGCGACCTGCTCACGGCAACGGTGTGCGGGTACATCCAGGAGCAGCATACTCGCAACTAAATAAACGGTAATAGTGTGTAAGTTACTGTAGTGTTCGGAAAACTTCATGTAAACTAGGAAATGCAGTAACATTGGTGTTGAATCGATCATCGTGACTCTATGGACTTGCTCAGACTCCATGGACTGGACACGGTTGTGAGGCGGGCCGAAATGTGTTGTAGAACTGTTACATGTACAGCGCCAATGCCAGCGCTGACAAGTACAGTACATGTATTATGGGACTTTGAAGAGGAAAGCACGCTGGGTTTACCCTCGTTCATAATACAGTTGCAGGGTACACAACTTCATGCGAGTTGGTCGAAGCCAGCACGGGTTCAACGGGTTCATGTATGTAATACATGCACACGAAGAGTTCAAATTTAAAAGTTTTTTTTTTTTTTTTTTAAGCGTTTGAAGCAGAGCCTTGCAAATCTTCGCTGTGCCTCCTATTGACTGGTAGGATCACACAAGCACACTTCAATTGCTTGCTCTTTCTGCCTACGCGTCGACAAGCCAGAGTGATGGATGGATCTGCTGATTGCATTCGCTAGCTGACCCGGCCTCGCAATCCGCTGCTCGTGATGTCTTCGGGCAAGCACGATAGGATCCAGCAAATGGCGGCTACGCATTACGGTTTGTCACGCGCGGACCAGCTTCGTTCGTAAGGTTGCTGCAGCCACTTGAATAGTGTACACCGGCTGGAGGCACGCGACCATGTGCAGGCAGGACACGAGGACCAGTCGCGCCCGACCGACCAAGCAGCAGAAAGGAGCTGCAGATGTTTACTTGGGGTAGTAACATGGCTGCTGTAATGATAAGAGGTGCCGCGCCACGAGACGCAACTTGATGACATGGCTAAGGTCGCCTTTGAGCTGGTCATCTGCAACAGCGAAACCAAAACCCCCTCTGGTGGTCAAGTGGTGAAGGATTAAAGGTCTACGTGCATTTACATTGCGTGGACAACGGTGAAGCATTGTCTTTGCGTAAGAGGCATGTGCAGAGACCTTCTCGCGTCGTGCATCAACAGCGCTGATTGCTGAGTGCCCGCCAGCGACGATCTTCCGATCTTCCGCCGTACCGAAGCCCTCCACGCATCAAACTCGCTGCCAAAGCGCGCCGCGGATTGGCCACGTGCTTCCCATCGACACCACCTGCTCGTTTCTCAGGAAACAGTAAGCATCCTCTACATCCCGCTGTTCCCGGCGCTACATGATGAAATCGAGTGGCTACCCGGACAACCGGACGAAACGCTTCATCAGCTGCGGTGCGACCGGCATCGGGTCCGCTCTGATGTCCTCTGCATCATCATCCACTTCTAGGCAACCTGACCGTGTGAATTAACTACAGCCGACTCCAGTTCATCTGGCCGTCTCGCTAGGAGAGCCACACGAACGCAATTCGGGTGTTCAAC